CTGGTCGGAGCTTGTTTCCTCGAGGGAGAATTCCCCAATGGAACAATATTTTTCAAACAAACCCCGGGTCAACACCCCAGACAACCTGGACAACCCCTCTGAGATGCATACCGTAAGCGTCCCAGCCTGTGAGGATGACATGAGCACGTGCTGGCAAGACAACGCCGCCTGGACAACCCCTTGGACAATCCCGCAAAGATCCGGACAACCCCACCTGGAGAACCCCCCTTGGACAAGCCTCCCCTGGATTTTCCCAAGAGATGTACAGCCTTTTTGGACTGATCAAGGTTCCCCGTCCCCAGACCACATGTTTCCAGGGGCTCCGATCACCCATGCCTGCCGCGAGGCTCCCTGGCGAATACAGCCAACGTGCTGCAAGGAGGCCAGACAGGAAGCGAAGCCCCCTCTTGGCCCCAGACGCGCCTGCGCGCATGGGGAGCGCCAGAGGAAGGAGCATGGAAGGTTCTCAGGAACAGCGATCGGCACAGTACAAGAACGGCCCCCATGCGCCGCATCGCGTCTGCACTCCCGTCCCCTGCCACGCACGTTCGTGGCCTCCACGGTCTGAGCGTGCTCTGCCGCCCACGGCACCCCTCCCCCCCCTCCGGCCCCGCCTGCCCCCGTGCCTCCATTCGCCGCGGAGGCGTCCCGCCGCTGCTCGCACCGCGACACTGGACCCCACAGCCCCGCCAGAGGGAGCACGCTTGGCGGCGCGCACAAGGGGGGTGGGGGGAGGGGGGAGGGCTTCTTAGAAGCACCCTGCTTCTCAGAAGGCGCCGGCCTTACTTCTATAGAGAAGGCCCGCGCCTTCTAGGAAGCAGGGGTGCTTCTGAGAAGCCCTCCCCCTCCCCCCACCCCCTTGTGCGCGTGGCTGACACGCCCCTCGGGGAAACCCGCCGCATCGACGATCTCTCGAGAGGGGTGTCGAAAATCGATGCGTCCCCCAGGGGGGTAAGGACCACAGCTCCCCCAGCTGTGGCTGGCCAGTCGAACAGCTTCCGCTGCGCCTCGTGCCCGCGCCCCAGCTGCACGTGCGGTGCCCGCCCCTGGGCCGCCCGCCCCGTCTGCCTCCGCCGGCGAGGGGGGCGCGCCGAGGCCCGTGCGCCAGCGCGCTCGCGCGAGGGCGCGGCGTCGGCGGCGACGGCGGCGCCGTCCTCGTCGTCGTGACGGCGGCGTCGACGCCGACGCCGACGCCGGCGTCGACGCCGACGACGCCGGCGCGGTGCTGCCGTGGTTTGCCCCGCTGGTCGGCCGCGGAGCCGGTCGGGCCGCCCGGCCAGGAGGCACGAGGCCCGCGGCGATCGCAGTGGGAGCGGCGCCCCGCAGGCGCCAGGGCGGCGGTGCGCGCGGGGCGCGGCGCCGCGCGCTGGGGCTCGTCGAGAACTCGGGCTCAGAGCGATGGAAGGGGCCCTGGGACAAACCATGTTTTCCCATATTGTCTGGGTTTCTGTCTTCCCCCCACACGTCCCATATTTTCCCATATTTTCTCGGGAATCGACGATGAATTGTGTCTGTGTGCTTCTTTCCCTCCTGAGTATCGGCGCCAACGTGAGGCGGGCGCGCCGAGGCCCTGCAACACGGCGAGGGCGGCACGGCGAGGGGCGATGCAGGCCGCGCGCCGTCGGCGGAGCCGAGCGGGGTAGCACACGCACACAAACACACGCACACACACACACACACACACACACACACACACACACACACACACACACGCAAACACACACACACACACACACACGCACACACACACACACACACGCACGCACACACACGCACACACACACACACACACACGCACGCACGCACGCACGCACGCACGCACGCACGCACGCACACACACACACACACACACACACACACACACACACACGCTCGGGCTGCAGTCAAGCCGTGCGGTAAGACTGCGCGGTGGGGATGCAAGGACCTTGGAAGCCCATGCCGACACTTTTCGAGCGGGGCGCGGCCAACGAAAGTGACCAAGGATGGACCGAGGAGGCAAGGATGCCAGGGTAGCCTTGGAAAGGTTGCCCATCCTTACTGTGCGGGTTGACTGTAACACACGTCCCGAGGACCATCGATCAGCCGAACGGGGTGCACACACGCTGATCAGGCCTTTTGCAAGTATCGCTGACGCAAACGCTCGTAGCTCTAAGGCCAAGGGAAAAGGAGGTCAGGGAGAGCTAGAGGCAGCAGGGAAGCGACAGAATCACAGCACACACGCTGGGGCTAACACACGTTGACTGTGCAGCGTGACGTCGGAGGAAGAAGGCCGCGGCTACCGCTGGGAGTACGGCGGCCAGGGCGAGCGGCTGCGACCGCGCCCTGGCGCCCCGCGAGAGGCCAGCGACCTGCTGGCGTGCCACGCTCTCTGGCGCGGAGCAGGCGCGCGCCAGCCCGCACGACGACGGGCTCCAGCCCGAGGCCGCGCCCGAAGCCGAGCTTAGCCCAGCGTCGAGCACGCGCCCGAGCCCGAGCATCTAAAGAGGCCCCCCCAACAGAAAAATGCGAAGAGCGCCCCAGAGCCTCCAAACATCGGGGTTCGAGGGAGGGGGGCCCGCCTCCACCCAGGGCGTCCTCACTGCTTCCTGCGGTTCCGCGACTCGCGCTGGGCCTTCCGCGACTCCTCCAAGTTCGTACAGCTCTGTTTGTCTCTACGCTGGCGTATCTGGGTCCGCCTCGGACTACGCCGACTTCCACCGATCAATCCAGCAATCTTCCCGCCAGTCGGCTGGAGAAGAGTCGCCAGGCCCTTCGAACCTCGAAGTCGGACTGGTCTGACTCTCGATCCTGGCGGGCTGGGTGGCCGTGCCTCTCCTCGGCCCTCGATCCTTGACCCTCGGTCCTCGATCCTCGGTCCTCGATCCCCGTACCTCGATCCTCGATCCCCGATCCTCGATCCTCAAACCTCGGTGCTCGATCCTAGAACCCTGATCCTCGAACACCAGACCTCGAGCCTCGATCCTCGAACCTCGATCCTCGAGGATGGGGAAGAAGAGGAGGAGGAGGGGGTGGGCAGTGCTGGCACGTGCAGACAAGGGTGGGCGGGTCCCCAGGACCAGAAGGACGAGCAACTCATGCAACTGCGCGTGGAGGCTGGGATCCCAGTCCTCCCGCTTCTTCCTCCTCCTCGATCCTCGAACCTCGATCCTCGAACCTCGATCCTCGAACAACGAGCCTCGAGCCTCGAACCACCAACCCCGAGCATCGATCCTCGAACCTCGAGCCCCTATCCTCGAGCCTCCATGGTCGATCCCCTCCGCGGTTTTCCGCTCCGCGGAGCGCACGCGCGGCACTCCGCCGCGGGCCGCACGGGCCGCAGCCGGGCGCGGGACGCCCGGCCCCAGAGGCGCCCCGGGCGGGCGAGGGGGGGGGGAAGCGTCCACTGCTTGTGGGGTCCTCCTCCTCCTCCTCCTCCTCCTCCTCCTACCGCCCCTGCTACTCCTCCTCCTCCTCCCCCCTGTCTCCTCACTCGCCCCCTTCCGACTCCTATTCCTTACATCCTCCCATCCTCCATCCTCAATACCTACACGCATGCCCTTCATCCATCCTCATCACGCACAATACTCCTCATCCTTCACCTCATCCTCCTCCTCCCTCCTCCGTCATACTACTACTCCGCCTCCTAATTCCTCATAATCAATAATCAATCCTGACTCCTACCTCCTCCTACCCTCCCCCTCATCCCTCTATCTCCCCCTCCTCCTCTCCTCCTCCCTCCTCCTCCTCTCCTCCCCTCCCTCATCCTCCTCCTCCTCCTCATCCCTCCTCCTCCTCCTCCCTACTCTCCTCCTCCTCCTCCCCTCCCTCCTCCTCCTCCTCCTCCTTCCTCCTCCTCCTCCTCCTCCTCCTCCTCCTCCTAATCCTCCTCCTCCTCCTCCTCCTCCTCCTCTTGGGGGGTGGGCGGGGGTCCTGCTCATCGACTTGGTCTGCAGGTTCCCTCCCTGGGGCGTGGTTTTCGTGTACTGAACGTGGTCCCGTGGGGTGGAGTCTGACTGGGGTGGGGAGGTACGTGCTCGAACCGCGCGTCTCAAGGAGTTCCATGTGTCCACGGAGCCGGTCCCTGGCCCAGGGCCTGCGCGCTCCTGAAGACTGTACATCTTAGAATCAGTATGGGAAGCCCCTCAGGGACCAAAGACCGGGGGGGGCGGCGGAGGCGGAGTTCCTCCAACTGCTCGCAAACGGCCTGGATCCGCTGCGGGGAATTCACGATCCGATGCGTCGAGGCAAACATGTGCATTTTCGGACGTTTGCGAGCAGCGGAACGCGCTCGGTGAATCCCTCTTCCTTGCAAATGATGTCCCCCCCTCGAAAAAAAATAGCGAACACTCATGCCACAGTCATCCGTCAACGCCTCCCCCTCCCCCGATGTTCAAAGCTGGCGGCGGGCCTGATGAGCTGCACCTCGACCGCAGTCTCCCCCGCGCGTGCCAACTCTGAGTTTGGGGGGGAGGGGGGGAGTGGGGAGTGTTCAGTAACTGTCGCCCTCTGCCGTACCACCAGGTGTCCGCAGGCTGGGAGGGGCGGGGGTAGGGGTAGGGTTCGCACGTGGCCCCCTATTGGAGTCTCCAGGGCACCCACAAGTGGGCGGTGGGTGCCTGCCGAGGGGAACCGCCGGGGAGCGCCGGAGCTCCCCCGGGGGGGCGGCGGGCGGCCTCCCCTCGCGCCCCACGCTGCCCTCGGCGCAGGCCGCAGCCGCCACTGAGACCCGCCGACCGGTTGATTTTCTGGGGCTTCGCCAGAGCCGGAGCGGCCAAGAGGGGGGGGGCTGAGATTGACCTATAATGTAGAAATGCTCGAAAAACTGAATCATTATGATGTAACTTGATTTGTTCGCGGCTGTTTTTCAAAGATAACTCGAACTAAAGGCCATTACAAGAGCCCTGATACACACGAATCGACAGGAAATGGTGTCCAAGAGGGGGGGGTGCAAATCATGACCGGCGGCACGTGCGCGGCCCAGCGGGGGGGGCCAGGGACGTAATGAAACAAGAAGAGGCGCCATGAAATCCGAGGAAATATCATGGCCCACGCCATGATATCCACCCCCCCCCTTAGTCATCACCCCCCTCTTCTCCGCCCCCGACCAGAGCCTTGCCGAAGCGCCGCGCCCGAAGCACCGAGAAGCACGATCCGCACACGACGACCCGCCGACCGGGGCGGAGTCCCCTCGGGACCCGCGCAGGGAAGGAGGCTACATGCAAACCCTACCCCTACCCCCCACGATTTCTGAGGGGGAGGGTGGGGTTCACTTCACTCGGGAGCTCCTACGAAGGAAGGCGGGCAGGCAGGCAGGGGAGGACGACGACGCCGTGCGGAGGGGCGGGGCAACGGGGGGAGGGGAAAGGGGGCCCGCGGAGCCCGCTCAGGCCGGCGCAGACGCCTCGGCCGGGCGCGGCGCTCCCTCTCGGGCGCTGCCTTATAGGGGTCGTCCATCACTGTGCGCCGCCGCCCCCCCCCCCCCAGAAAAATCACCTCTGAATCACCTGCGCCTGCCTGCCATCACCCCGCTGGTGGGGGGGGGAATCACCATGATCACCACCAGCATCATCAGCAGTACCCGCTCCCCGCCCACTTCTCCTCCTCCTCCTCCTCAGCAGCAGCAGCAACGGGCGCAGCAGCATCAGCATCAGCATCAGCATCAGCATCAGCATCAGCATCAGCATCATCATCAGCAGCATCATCATCATCCTCCTCCTCCTCCTCCTCCTCCTCCTCCTCATCATCATCATCATCATCATCATCATCATCATCATCATCATCATCATCACCATCATCATCCTCATCATCATCACCATCATCACCATCAACCTCATCGTCATCATCATCATCAGCAGCAGCATCGTCATCATCATCAACATCATCATCATCATCATCATCATCATCATTATCATAAGCATCAGCATCACCATCACCATCACCATCCTCATCATCATCAGCAGCATCACCATCACCATCACCATCACAATCATCATCATTATCATCAGCAGCAGCAGCATCAGCATCAGCATCAGTATCAGCATCAGCAGCAGCAGCATCATAATCGTCATCATCATCAGCATCATCACACTCAGCATCCGTATCATCATCATCACCACCATCATCATCAGCATCATCACCATCAACATCATCAGCAGCATCATCATCATCTTCCTCGTCTTCATCGTCGTCATCATCATCGTCGTCATAATCATCATCAGCAGCAGCACCATCCTCGTCATCATCAACAGCATCATCATCGTCATCTTCATCATCATCATCAGCATCATCATTATCAGCAGCAGCCGCATCATCATCATCATTATCATCATCATCCGCATCACCATCATCATCAGCATCAGCAGCATCATCATCGTCAGCATCATCATCAGCATCGTAATCGACATCATCGTCATCAGAATCACCACCATCGTCAGCAGCATCATCCTCATCATCATCAGCAGCAGCATCACGAGCAGCATCATCAGCATCATGAGCATCAGCATCAGCATGATAATCAGCGTCATCATCATCATCAGCAGCATTATCATCTTCACCATCGTCAGCTTCATCATCCTCATCATCAGCACCATAATCGTCGTCATCATCAGCATCAGCATCATCAGCAGCAGCAACATCATTATCATCAGCATCATCACACGCGTCATCGTTAGCATCATCACCAGTATCATTGTCATCATCATCGCAATCGCCGTCACCATCAGCATAAGCAGCAGCACCATCCTCTTCAGCATCAGCTTCATCATCGTCATCATCAACAGCATCAAAATCATCGTCACCATTTTCAACAGCGTCCTCCTCCTCATCATCCTCAGCATCAGCATCATCATCATCAGCAGCAGCATCATCGGAACCATGAACCACAGCAGTCAGCATCACTATTTTCAGCAGCATCATCATCACCATCAACATCAGCATCATATTCATCATCATCAGCATCAGCATCAGCATCAGCATCAGCATCAGCATCAGCATCAGCATCAGCATCATCATCATCAGCATCATCATCATCATAATCATCATCATCATCAGCATCATCATCATCATCATCATCATCATCATCATCAGCATCATCATCATCATCATCATCATCATCATCATCATCATCATCATCATCATCATCAGCATCAGCATCAGCATCAGCATCATCATCATCATCATCATCAGCATCATCATCATCATCATCCGACTCATCCGACTCATCCGTCTCTTCGTCATCATTTTCAGCACCAACAGCATCAGCATCATCATCAGCATAATCATTCTCGTTGTCATCATCCCTATCGCCCTCATCGTCCTCATCATCCTCATCATCATCATCATCAGCAGCATCATCAGCAGCATCATCAACATCATCTGTGACGCCGTCATCGTCATCCTCACCGTCGTCCTCGTCATAATCATCGTCAGCCAGCGTCTCATTCTTCTCAGCGTCATCATCACCATCATCATCACAATCATCGTCAGCATCATCATCAGTATCATCGTCATCATCGTCATCATCGTCATCATCAGCAGCAGCATCGTCGTCATCACTATCATCATCATCATCAGCATCATCATCATCATCATCATCAGCATCAGCAGCATCATCATCATCATCATCATCATCATCATCATCATCATCATCATCATCATCATCATCATCATCATCATCACCATCACCAGCATCATCCCCAGAATTATCATCAACAATATCGGCATAGTATTAGCATCATCCGCAGCAGCATCACCGCTATCGTCATCGCAATCGACGCCGTCGTCGTCATCAGAATCATCAGCAGCAGCACCACCATCATCATCATCATCATCATCAGCAGCAGCATCATCCCCACCACCACCACCACCATCAACTACCTCCCCACCCCGTCAGGGGTCCACCCCTCTCTATGCGCCGCCGAACTCACCCTACTCCAGCCCCCAGCACCCCATCAGGGGGACCACCCCTTCCTATGCGCCGCCGCCCCGTCCGATGGACCTCCCCCCCAATACCTTTTCGTACGCCGCCGCCCCGTCAACAAAGTCACTCTTGTCCAATTACCCCCAGTACCCCGTCAGGGTGGCCACCCCTTCGTATGCGCCGCCGCTCCGTCCGAGGAACCACTCCTTTCTGTGCGACGCCGCCGCCCGAGGAACGAAGCGCAGGAAGGCGGTGACCGAGGATCGAGGAGGATGTGGAAGATTGAGGAGGATCGAAAGGGAAAACCATGGATCGAGGATTAGGGAGGACCGAGGAAGAGGAGGAACATCGAGAAAGAGGAAAGAGGAGCGAGGAGGGGAGGAGGAGAGGATGGAGGACGAGAATCGGTGTAGAGAGGTGTAGAAAAGGATGCCTTTCAAAACCTGGCTCCGTCATCCAAGTGTCAGTCGTCCATCCCAGCAGCGTTCATTGTCCATCATTTCGCTATCATGGCGCTGTCCTGCGATCATCCCCACCTTTGTGCTGTGGGCATGGAGGGCTGGCCCAAGAAAATCAATAGAAAACTGCATGCCTCTGTATGGTTGATGAATTATCGCCTTTTCGGTGTAAAGGGCCCCCCAATATAGATCGCCCCGAGACGGCCCGGGAGATTCCCAGGGAAAGGGCCGAAAAAGCGAGCCACCGCTGGAAGCTTGCCATCCAGGATGTACCCAAGACCCCCAAGAGGCCCCCACGAGGCCCCCCGACAAAAACTCGATGACACAAAACACAGAGGTCCCAAGAAGCTCCCAAGAAAACTCCAAGGGGTCCAAAATAGTCCGAGAGGCCCCACGTAGGCCTCCACAGGTCCTGGGAAACCGCGGTACTCCCGACTACGTGTTCATTGCACCTCGTGCCCAACCCGGCTACTGTGTGGTGATGATCATGCCAGAGCACGATACGGCAACCTGTCATACCACCAACCCGCCTGTACAACTCGCGTAGGCCATGCTGGGCCAGCTGAACGCTTCACCAAAAACGAGGCTCGCTGGAAGTGCTCTGGTTTGGGCGCCCGAAATGGGCACGGAAAAAATTGGTACAATGCCCAACAACAAATGTTGTCCCAAACCAGCAGCGGCCGCTGTTGGGCAGGCAGCCTTCTGTCTCAAATGGACACTGGCCGCGGCGGCTCGGACACCGAGTCCTGTTCAAAATGAACAAGAGCTGCTATTGGGCATTGTGCCCAGACTTTCCGTGCCCATCTCGTTCGTGCCGATCTGGGGGAGCCCATGATAGGGAAACGAACTCTATACACCGACGCGTTTCCCGACACTGCGCTGAAATTCGCACAGGAACGCGGATTCTGGTGTATACGAAATCCTGCTGTATACATGTTCCGTTGCTTCCTTTGGGAAACGGGGGAGAAGTATGCACAACGTCACCCCGACGTCGCTCCTGACAAAAAGCCGTGGGATTGACAGACGACCCGCCACTGGTAATGTAGATGTTCCAGTTTGCGACGTGACCGCGGGAAACGCCTCGCCCTGCCCGACCCTGGCTGACCCGGATCAGCGCCGACCGGGGCGAGCCAGTGAGTATCGTTTAACCGATCCCCATCCCCAGCGGCGTGGCCTGGGCCTCACTGGCCGATTTACCCCCCTAGATGGGGATACAGGCCATTCCCGTCGGGTTTCGAGGGGTGTATCCCCAACTGGGGGGTAATTTGGTGGGGGTCTCGAAAAGGATGGAGATGGGGATGGGGATCGGTTAAACGATACTGAGCCAGGGCCATGCCGCGAGCCCGCCGGCCACGAGGCAGCTCCCGGACTCCTGCTGCTCCCACCGTGCTCCGGAGCCCCATCCCAGGAAGAATCGCTCGGGCACCCAGGAGAGTGTCGTAACAGCGCCGAACGAGCATCGCCTCCCGGACTCCCAGGGCCCGACACGTGAGAACCCTCAAGCTTTCGGTGCTTCCTGGATGCTGGAGGTTCTTTCTGGTGGTCGAGGCTAAACTAGGTTGGAGCGTCATAAATCCCGGACCCGGGTCGGTTCCACGCGGCTCCCGAGCTCGGGCGAGCCAGAGCGGGTTGGAGGGGGTGCGGTGACCCCCGTCAGGGCTGACCCCACGGTGCCCGAGCCACGGCCGGACAAGGGCCCCGTCAGCGGGCTCCTTGATTAACGAAGGCGTCGGCGCACCCGAGAAGACGTCAGCCGTGGGTCGAGTCTTCCATTCCTTCCCTGCTCTCCCGTGGACCTGGCAGAGACCTGGCGTGCAAAGTCCTGGCTTCCAGGGCCGTGACCTGATACCTCGGCGCCGCGCACGAGGGGCTCAAGCGCGAGGGGGGAGGGGGCGGCCCTCTGCGAACGCGGGGGAGCTTCTGGCAAGGCAGGGGGCTCCTCAGAAGCCCCCCCCCGACTTCTGAGGCGCCCTCGCAGAAGACACTCCGGGCACCACTCGGACGGCCCCTGCCGCCTGAGCAGCACCCAGCCCTCCTCCGAGGGCCATCCCGCTCGCGCCGGCCCCTTGCGTGCTCGCCGCCAGGATTTAACGGGCGAAGAACGGTATAAGATAAACTTCTTCGCTGGCGGGGGCGCCTGTCCCTGGGCGGCTGGAAAAATTATACCCCTACGGTGGCACCGTAGGGGTATAAACTTTCCAGCCGCCCAGGGACAGGCGCCCCCGCCAGCGAAGAAGTTTATCTTGTACCGTTCTTGGCTCGCAGCCAGGGTGCCCTCCCCCCCGCGCGGGCTCCGGCGACGCGGCGGTGCCCCGCAGAGGCCGCCGGCCGGAAGAGGAGGAGGAGGAGGAGGAGGAGGAGGAGGAGGAGGAGGAGGAGGCGATGACGATGGAGATAGAGGAGGAGGAGGAGGAGGAGGAGGAGGAGGAGGAGGAGGAGGAGGAGGAGGAGGAGGGGAGAGGAGGAGGAGAGAGGAGGGCAGGAGGAGGAGGAGGAGGAGGGGGAGGAGGAGATGGAGCAGGAGGAGGCGGCATGTCGGAGGCCGCTGGCGGCCGCGGCCTGCGCGCCCGCCTCCTCCGACGGCGGCGCGTAGGACCAGTCGGACTTGCGCGCCTCCACGCCTGGCGAGCGGAGGGCGGGCGGCCTGCCTCCCCGCTCCGAGCCACGGGTAAAACAGAGCTAGGATCGGGGTAAATCGCTCCTCCTCCTCCTCCTCCTCCTCCTCCTCCTCCTCCTCCTCCTCCTCCTCCTCCTCCTCCTCCTCGCTCTAAAACAAGGCTAGGATCGGGATAAATCGCTCCAGAGCGTTCCGGAGCGCTCTCAGAGCGTTCCGGAGCGCTCTCGGAGCGGCCGCGGCGCCCAGTACGTCCCCCAAACCCGCCGATTCTCAGAGACTCCGAGTTGCCCCGATCCGATTTTGTCCCGATCTTCGCGTCGTTTTAGGAGGGCGGGCGGCCTGCCTCTAAAACGACACGAAGATCGGGACAAAATCGGGTCGGGACAGCTCGACATCTCTGAGAGTCGGCGGGCTTGGAGGATGTATCGGGCGCCGCGGCCGCTCCGAGAGCGCTCCGGAGCGCTCTGAGAGCGCTCCGGAACGCTCTGAGAGCGATCTATCCCGATCCTAGCCCTGTTTTAGCCTCCCCCATCCGAGCCACGGGCCCGCACCTCTCCGGGGCTCGCTTGCCCTCCCGCCCCCCTCGCGCCCGGGCTCCTGCCCTCCGTCGCCCGGCCGCTCGCTCTCTCGCGCGGCCGCCGCTGCCGAACCTTCGCGCCCTGTGTGCCGTGGGATTGGAGCTGCAGCCGTGTCGGTGAAGGCTTTGCCAGCGTAGAAACGAACCGCTTGGCACGCCCGACACGAGGACGGGCAAAAAATGGGGACGATGCCCAACAGGAACTGCTGCCCAAAACCGAGGGCGGCAGCTGTTGGGCAAGCAAAGTTCAGTTTGCCCCAAGCGGACAACGACCGCGGCCACACCGACAGCGAGTCAAGCTCACTATTTGGGCTTCACGCTAGCGAACATATACACGTACGTGTATATATATATATAGATATATATATATACATACATACACACACATGAATAAATGAATAAAAATAAATGCATAAATAAATGTCAAATTACATGTATATATATATATATATACGCTTTCCTCCTCGAATATGCGTATGAAAGGACCGAACCCCCGTAAATAAATTCGGCCCTGGGCGCTCACACCGCCTGAGCGGGTCCAAGATCGCTTCCCAGACGGTTCCATGCCGCACCAGAACGACCGAGGACCGCTTCAGGAACAGCCCGACAAGCGCCCACGAGGCCCCGAGGCGGGCCAACACGGCCTCAAGACGCTTCCCCGGGCGTCCCAAAAAGTTCCCAAAAGGACCCCCAAGAGGGCTCGAGGAGGCAAGAAACATACGGATGAAAGCCGGTGGCTTTCTCAAGATTCCGTAAGAGCGCGTGCGCACGTTCTGGTTGAAAATCCGTGTTGCGAAATCCTGTTGTTGTATGTTTTTGTATGTTTTTGGGACACTCCATTTTGAAATCCTTCCGAAACCTAAGGTTTCTGAAGGATTTCGGCATGCGCGCGCGACGACGCGCGCCTGAGCACTTCGTCCCATTTTTTGCGAAGGATTCTAAAAAACTTGCGATTTTTGGCAATCGAATGCGCGCGCATAGTACTCTTCGCAGAGGATGGCGGGAGAGGCCATACCGGTTTGGCTGGGATAATATGAATTCACAGGTAAGATGGACATTGGCTCAGAATCCATTGTGCTTTGCATCGGTTCCCCGGGGATCTTAAACCCGGGGGGTGAGGGTGGTAGAACCCATCTTTTTGAAAGGAGAATGTAGATGTCGTGTACTCCATGCTGTGCACTTCATGGTGTGCAGTCGGCGTGGTGTAATCTATGTAGTGCAATCTCGGTCGAACAATCTATGCGGTGCAATATGTGTAATGCAATATATGCTGAGCAATCAAGGCTTCACACTCTGTGGTGCAACCTATGTTCTCCCTTGCGTATGGTGCAAGCTATGGTGCGCAATTTATGTTATGCAAATCCTTGCGCAACCAATACATGTGGCTCAATTGGTGCAAGTCTGTTGTGCAATCATACGTGGTGCAGTCTATTAGGGCGGCGACGGGGCGGCGACGGGGAGGCGACGGCGGCAACATAGCCGCCAGACCGACAGATGGGCCCAGACGACGGGCCGCAACGAGGCGGCAACGGGGCGGCGACGGCGGCCAGATCGCCGCCAGACCGAGGACACGGCCCAGACGACTGGCGGCGACGAGGTGGCGACGAGGCGGCGACGGCCACCGCATATCCGCCAGACCAACGACAATCGACACGGCCCAGATCCGTAGAACAAAAGTAAGAACCCGTAAATGCAAGATCATGGAAGGAGAATCTACATACATCCATACATATGCTCGCCCCGCCCCTTCAGCACCCCCAGACAACGGTCCGGGGGGGAAAGGGGGAGCAGCCTCATCATCATTCTCTTCCTCCTGCTCCTCTTCCTCCTCCTGCCCCTTCCGCCATAAAGAAAACCCTTTTTTTACTCGGCCACGATTCACTTTGCATTTCGCCACATAAAGGATCCCTCCGCAATCAGACACAAAAGGGTTCCCCCTGGTATCCTGCAACACAAAGGGTCCTTTAGTATCCACCACAATAACAAGTCTGTTGCATCCCGCCACAAACGGAATCCTGATGGATTCCGCCACAACAGAAACCCTCCCGTATCCACAAAAGGATTCCCGTTGCATTACGCCGCATAAGGCATCCCTTGGTAATCAAACTCAAAAGAGCTCCTCTGGTACTATGCCACAACAAAAATCCCGTAGCAATCCACTACAATAGTAATCATTTGGTACTCCACCAGAAAAGAAACCCTTGTGCATTCTACCACAAGAGAAAAGCGGCGTGTATTCCGCAACAAACAGGGTCCCTCTTGCATTCCGCCACATGAGAAATCCGTTGGCAATCAAACACCCAAAGCGTTTATGCTTGTAGTCGACCACAAAAAGAATCCTTTGGTAACCCACCACACGAAGAAGAATCCCATAGGATTCGCCACACAATAATGCTTTAGCAGTCTGCCGCAAAGGGAAGCCTGCTGTATACCGCCACAGGGAAAGCCTGTTGTGCTCAGCGGAAAAAAAAATAATTTTTGTATCCGGCCACAAAACAAACCCAGTTAGAACCCACCAAAAACATATTATCGTTGAACTTCGCCACAAGAAAATGATTGTACACTCTGCAACAAAAGGAATCCTGTTGTGTTCCGCCACAACGAGAAACCCTGTCGTACTCGGCCACAAACGGGTTGCTGTTGGACTCCGCCACATTCGAAATCCCGTTGGAATCGTGCCACAATAGGAACCCTTTCGTAATCCACCACAAGTACTCCGCCACACACGGACTCCCGTATTATTTTGCTACAAATGGAATAACCCTCTTGCACTCTGCCCCAAAGGGGTTCCATTTGCTCTCTGCTACATAAGGAGTCCCTTGGCAATCAACCACATGTTCCTCGTGTAATATGCCACACAAGAGATACCGCAGTAACCCACCACAAAAAGAATCCCCGAATAATTCGCCACATAGGGGATCCTAGAGTACTCTGCCACAAAACTTGTCCTGTCGCATTCCGCCACGAGGTGAACCCCCTTGTTCGACAAGAGAAAAAATCCCCTTGCACTCCGCCACATAAGGAATTCCGTGGTGCTCAACCACAGAATGGACGTTTTTGTGCAAACTGCCACATCAGGGATCCCTTAGTAGTAACCCACCCACCACAACAGGAATCGCTTGGTATCCCGCCACAAAAGAATCCTGTAGTACTTCGCCACAAAGGGAACCCTCTCGCACTCCGCCACAAAAGGAACCCTTTTTGCACTCTGCCAAAAGACGGTTCTGTCTTTACCCCGCCACAAAACAATTCCTTTGTAGTCCACAACACAGGAATTCCCTGTGTACTTGGCCACAAAAAAGATACTGTTGGTTGCCTTCTGCCACATGGGAAGTCCTATTGTACCCCGCCTCAACGGGAAACCTTTTTCGCACTCGGCCACAAAACAATTGCGTTTGGATTCCGCCACATGAGGAATCCGTTGGTGATCAACAACAGAAGGACTCCGCTGATATCCTGTCACTAAAAGCATCCTTTCGTAACCTACCACAAAAAAAGATCCCGCAATACCGCGCCCCAAAAAGGAATCCCCATATATCCTGCAACAATGGGAATATTTTTGCATTCCGCCACAATGGTGAACATGTTGCGCCCGGCCCCAACAACGACTCCCAATGCACCCCGCCAACCACCAAAGACAAACAAAAATTGAGTTCACTCTCTCGTTATCTCTCTCTCTCTCTCTCTCTCTTTCTCTTTTTCTCCTTCATCATCATCATGATTTCCCCCCCTTTTTTGTTCCGTTCATTATCGTTATCAGATCCCTCAGTTCGTTTGTGTTCCTCCTCCTCTCGTTCCGTTCCTCCTCCTCCGCATATTCCTCGTTTTGCGTTTTTCCTTTTTCCATGGAAAAAAGGGAGGAGCAGGAAGAGGAGGAAGCAAAGGAAAAAGGGAGGAGCAGGAAGAGGAGGAAGCAGAGAAAAAACAAGAGGAAGGAGGAGGAACTAGCAAGGGGAAGGAGAAAGAAAAAGAAATGACATGAAAGAGAGGAAGGGGGGCAGAAGGAGGAGAAAGAAAACGACACTTGTTCGGTGTTGATGTTGTTGGTTGGTTGTGTTGCGGGCGACAATGCATGTGTATGAATATACACATACGTATGTAACTCTTTGTATATATACATACATTACAGCGTGTTTATACAATTCCGTTTGGTGCCACATGGGTGGTGCAGTCTAGGCTGCGCAAACAATGTATGTGTGTGCATATATCTATATGTATATAAATATGTGTATATACATACATAAATACACATTTACGCGTTGTGCAATCTAGCTGGTGCAGTCTATATGGAGAAATGCACCGATGCCCGCAATGAGCTGTCAACCCCACTGCTCGCGAAATAATGCCACCCACCCACCCGCAACTTGGCTTGCAAAGCCCATGCGATGGCGATTGCGATGATTGTTCGGCGTTGACTGGTGCATCTC